ATATTTATGTTTGTGGTTGTAATGTGACAAAATATGGAAAAGTTCAAGGGGTATGAATACTTTTGCAAACCACTGTATATCAAAAATAAATATGACTTTGTATCATAGCCTGTCAAAAAGCCTTCAAATTGGCCACTGTTGCTTTAAGAACCTCCTACCATTTCAGACACTCCCACTTCATATCCTTGTCACCAGTGGTGGGCAACAATAATCTAAAAATTAGTTGCACTAACCCTAAAGCACTAACTTTAATATTTAGGATCCCTAATTCTAAAGCACTAACACACTTAAAAATTTGGCAAGTTCTGAAGCACTAAAATCTCAGCTGACCCATGGAACATTCCTCAGAATCAACATGAGAAAAATACTTTCTGTGTGCAGAATATGGTTAATATTTCATCTAGTGTAGTGGTTCCCAAAGTTGGGGTCGAAACCTCTTTGTGGGTCACAAAACATCTAGTGAGTGTCCCCAGATGATTTCCAGACATAAATTTAAATGCAAAAAATTAAAAAAAAAAATAGATAAATAAATAAAAATGCTAATGGAATATTTTCATCATGACTATTGTAATTTTTAAAAATAATCATAAATGAATAAAAATGATTATCATAGTTGTAGTGGTCACCTAGGGGTGGAATAAACAGTTTACTAGTAATACATACATACAAAATACTAGGCATACATGTCAACTTGTATGGATTGTCCGTAAGTTATAAGGATTTTACATCATTTTGCAGGTATACGGACGTATAGAGCAATCTCACGGATTTTTTCAAGTCTTACGGATTTTTTCAAAACCTCATTTTCAAATTTATCTAATGTCAGAGCCTGTAGGATGATTTAAAAACCATAAATAACATCAAATAGCCATCTTCAAACATGTTCTGCTGCTAGAAAWAAGTTTTGAATTTTTTTCCGCTCTCCGCCTCCTGCTTCGCAGCAGGTGCTTTCATGTCCGCAGCGAGGCGTACCCCTCCCCCCCGTGGGTGCGAGCTGTACGGATTTTTTGCAAAATTTACGGATTTTTGAGGCTTTTTATACAGGTAAACGTCCGAAGAGGTTGACATGTATGACTAGGTTTGTTTATAGTTATTATTCCCATGTTTAACAGAGTTATTAGCAAAGTTTGCATACGTAAACAAGTAATATATGGGGTCACGAGCRTCTGCAATTGTTATTTTGTGGGTTGGAAGCAAAAATGTTAGAAAACCTCTGATCACGCATATGACCGACACGTCTGACAGCTTTCACCCTCCGCTGTTGACAACGATGTTGATCAATAACATTTAAAGAACTCAATTTGTGCTTATAAATTTAGCCCATAAATTTAGCAAGTGCTAATCCACTAATGAATTAAGAAACTAGCAAAAGCCCTAAAGCACTAATCAGGAAACTAGTTCCCCTATTAGTGCTTTAGGGGAACTGAGCCCACCACTGCTCGTCAGAAAGCTTCAGGGGAGGGGTCTCCAAATGTCTACCCCAGGAGTTTCAAGGGTTTCTCAGACATGCATGGATGAGTCAAATCCACACTCTGGTATGGTTTTTGATAAAGGAATGACCTTATAATATTGTACAAGCTCAAAAAAGTTGATTTTGCATAATACACCCCCCCCCCCACAAAAACTTCTAAACATCAGCGTTGGAATCAGCTATAATCAAGTCGATTTCTGAAGTATACACTCTATAAAAGTTTTTGGTAAAGGAACCCAGGTAATAAAGCCTTTCTTCAGTGTTGGTCTACTCACCCTGAGGCGATGAGTGCTCGTGACTGGGCCATGGCGATACGCTGCAGTGCAGGACGGCTCAGACCTGCCAGGCTGGACCGCGGTGGCAGCGGGGCGGCACAGGCGGCAGCACCAGATGAAGACACCGGGCCCAGAACCCGGGCAGAAGGCGACGGTGTGCAGGTGGAGGCAGCGGTGGAGATGAGAGGTGGGGCTGGGGTGGGCACTGTGGGGGCGGAACAAGAAATGGAGAGGGAGGAGGAGGCGGGGGGTGGAGGGGGTAGGACGGCGGCCGACGAGGGAGCGGTTGAGGGTGGAGGAGGTGGCGGCGGAGGAGGTGGGAGAGTGGGGGGCGGGGGGCGACTCGAAGAGAGGGAGAGCGCTGCAGTGGCTGGCCCGAGAAGGGAAAGAGAGTGGGGGTAGCCTCCTCCAAAACTGAAGCCGGTACCACCAACACCCCCCGCACCAATAATACCCATCCCCCCTCCTCCGCCTGTACCAGCTACACTGTAGCCACCCATCGCCCCAACTAAAGAYGTCCTGTTTGGGGACAGAGATCTGGACAGTGCTGGTGGTCGAGGGAGTGTTAGGGAGTAAGCACTTCCTGGGACAGGGTAGCTGCTCAGCTTGGGACTGGGGGGTTTGGTCGGTGGCGGTCTTCGACCCAGAGTTTGTGCTGTTGTCATGGTCCCCGCTTTGATGCTTAGCATCAACATACACTGCTGACAAGCGCAGGGCTGTCCTAAAGAGGTGATGGCCGAAGCAGGAAGCGCCCCGCTGGGGTAGGCGCTCCCATTTCCCATCCCAGCGCTGCTCATCCTCATCGTCCCCGTGCCAACACTGGAAACATCAACACCGAGAAGTCCCCCGTGTCCGGGCATGGACATGGGTCCCCACGCATGGTGGGACTTGGGTAAGGGCCCGGAAACCAGTGGGTAGGCAAGGTCTGAGCGGCGCTGGATTCTCCTGCAGCGCTGCGTCTGCCCATTGATTTGGGTCATGTTTTCAAAGTCAATGAGGTAGCAGAAACCCAGAGGCGCCAGGTCCAGACACGACTGCTGACGATCACACGCTGCCTGGATGGCAATGCCCACCTCAGTGTCGTATGCGGTCCAACTGCCGGCGTCGTTCTCCCACTCCCACAAACAGCCCTGCCCCGGTGCCGAGGTGGGATCGTAAAAGCTACGTCGTACWGGTCGAAGGGTACCTTAGACAGGGATCAGACCACAAACAAAACACCCGTATGTGTTAGACAGGATTTGATGACACAAAGAAAATGATGTGATACAACATGGGTTCATTAAAGTGCCTGTGACATGCATGTTCTTCAAATACAAAAAGTGAAAGAAAGCCTCTTTATATTTAAGAAACTTGGCGTAATACACGTAGTTTTACTCATTTTGTCACATAACTGTAATGTTTGCTTTTGAGTTTGGCAGTAGTGGGCAGCACTAATCTAAAAAATTAGTCCCACTAGCCCTAAAATACTAACTCAAATATTTAGGTCCCCTAATGATAAAGCTCTAACGCACTGAAAATTTTAGCAAAAACTAATTCTAAAGCACTAAAATAACCCACTCAACCCATGAACATTCTTCAACAAACATGAGTCACATGTTGCCATGCGGTTCTCTTAAGACTTATCATTGACATTCCACAGCCGTATTTGAGTTCATTTAGCGTCAATATGTCACCTGGTGGATAAGTGACACACATATGAACAAAATGTGTGACAGCTTCAACCCTCAGCTGTTAACATTAACGTTGATCAACATTTATAGACCTCAGTTAGTGCTTCTAAATTTAGCCTATAAATTTAGCAAATGCTAATCCACTAATAAATTTTAAAATTAGCAAAAGCCCTAAAGCACTGATCAGGAAATTAGTTCCCCTATTAGTGTTTTAGTGCTTTAGTGGAACTGTGCCCACCACTGGAATTTGGTTCAGCAAAATTTAAACAGGAAGTGACATCAAAGGGAATTCTTTAAGAAAGTAAACTCCCTGTCTTTGATCTTTGTTTTTGGAAACAAAATTATTTGAACTCTGACTCTTTTTCATCTCTCTAAGAGTGACTCAAAATAATAATAAAAAAACCATCAGATTCTTCTCTACAGTCTGTGTTGTTACCCGTTTTAGTAATAATGCAGACATTCCCCTTTGACATCACTTCCTGTTACTTCACATACAAATATCTCAACAACTGTCTGTCTCAACGGCTTGAAATTTGTTTTGTAGTATGTTTAAAGTGTTGTCTTTCCAAAAATGCATTCATAGTTATTACTAAAATTTGTTGTCACAGGCACTTTAACCTCAATCAGCCATTGCTCTTAGATGCCTGAAATACCTTCACCACTCTCCCCCTTCCCTGGCTCCTGTTTACGTAGTTTGGAGCACACTAATTATACACATTTTAGTTTGTTTTGAGTCAGAAAAGAAACCATACAAAGATTTATGTTGCTCACGATTAACAATTAGTCTATGTTTCTGTGTTTGCCTTCCTTTCAAAGAGAAATCTAAGAGCAGGTGTATGTGGTTACCCATAAATGAGTGAGAGCAGCTTTAAAGTTTATTTTTATTTTGGTTCTCTTTACACCTCTTATTAAGCCTAAACATCAAACTGTTGCCGTTTTCTCTTAGTATAATCCAAAGATAATGTTGGAATTCAGTAGCTGCATTGAAACCTTTTAAAATTTCTCCAAAGATTTTCTAGATGTTTACAAACCCTCTTGAAAAAAAAAGTTTAATGAAGACAATTCAGTCCCTCACTGAGTCTTTCCTTCTATAATATTCAACAATGTAGTGGTGTTTACAGCAGGCAAAGTGATTTCAGACTCCACTACATTCAACATGTCTGTGTTTGCTTGCTACAAATCTGGGCAAACAGGTTGCCCCTGGTAACAAGTGCTCTGTGTTGGTGAATTCTGATTGGCTGGCGGCCTTTCAGCCGACCCAGAGCCGGCTGTATGGGCTTTCCTTGAGTGTCCAAAGAAGCTCTACAGAGTTTTCATACTGGAGAGCTTTCACACAATAAATCCTGTCTGCAGGGATGAAGGATGAAAGAGGTTGAGACGCATGGATTGGAAAACTGTGTAAACTTGCTAGAAAAACCAACAAAGTCACAAATAGGGTATACCTTATGGCAAATTTTACATCTAAATCTGAGCTTTAAGGGTTCGAACTATCAATACCAACAACCAAACAGCAGCCTACTCGATGTGCCCATTTATAAAAGACTCTCCAGTCTCCAGTGTTTAAAGAAGTTGTCAATTACTACTGTATTATGGTTTATTGATGTAAAAAAATGTGTTAAAATGTTAAAAAATTATGGTAGCTTGCGCTTAATGGCATGCAAAAAAAAATCAATGCTTTGTACAAGTTAAAGATATGGATATAGAACATATAAAAAGAATGTTATAACCAAGTTATTATGAATTGTAATTAAGGATGATTGTGTAGATGTAAGAAGGGTGGGTGTAAAAAATAAGTTTATACTTCTACCCACTCCTTTGAACGTGTAAATATAATTTAATATTGTTCTTCTTTTGTTTGCTTTTTGTTTTAAAATTATTTTTCTTTTGTATATAACTTTATTTCTTTTTAATACATTATGTTCAATAACGTCAAATGTCAAAGTCAAAAGATGACTTCAGATAATCTTCTCAATGATGTTTTGGAAGATGACTTATACTCCTTTTAAGGGTATATTTGGTTATTTTAAAATAGCATAAGTAAAGATTGAAATAAAATAACAAGAGCTAACACAACAATTACAGGTGATAAAGGTTATTTTTAAATGACGGTTGCATAATCCACTATGAAACTATTTTGAAGTTCTTTATGGAAGGTTGCGCCGGAATTGTTATCGTTAGCTATTTTTATTTTTTGTAAATAATCATATAATTCGATGTAAATAATCAAGTAATCCAAACACTTACAGATTCTAAACATTAAAAATATGTTTTCTTAATGTTTACATGTGAGTCAGCAGAGTAGTATCTGTCCTCGTAGAGTTAGCATTAGCTTCTTGTTGTCGGAACATGCAGTATTGTTGCAGGTTTTTAAATAAACTTATCACAAAAAGTAAGTAAATTAGTGTTTGGTAGATTCTTTATTTGTTGCCCAAAGGCAACGAACATTTGGCAAATTTTTCATGTCTGCAACTCACATGTGCATGTTCCTTACAAATGTGGCAACGTTTAAAAGGGAATTTAACAGGTTATCCAACGATATAAGACGTATTGCCAAGAAGCATTGTTACAACAAAGACACCAAATGCAAATTTCCTTTCTTTTTAAAGTATATTTTTAAAGAGTAACTTACCCCAAAATTAACTTTTTTTAGCTGATAAACTGTCTAGAAT